AACGTCTCATCAGTCATACATATATACATGCATGCATGCATCAAAACATACATATTTACATGTGTGTGTGTGAGCCCTTGTAAACTTTTGTTCACCAACTTTTAAAATTAATTCAATTTAGTTCAATTTAATATGAACTTCATATTTACATTTTACAATTGTTTCAATTTGATCCATGTGTATTGTTTAATTTATTTAAATTTCACTTTATAATTTCTTATTTATTCAATTTAGTCCTTAAAAGTATATTTTATCCAAAATTAGCCTATAACTATTTCTATGTTATTAATTTACTTCAAACCTTATAAATCACATCATAAACTTCATTTCAAACCATATAGATTATATCATAATCTCCAAACCCTATAAATTTTTATTCACCAACTTTTAAAATAAATGCAATTTAGTCTAATTTGATATTGATTTTAGTTTTATATTTTACAATTATTTCAATTTGATCCATACATTTTGTTTAATTTATTTAAATTTCACTTTATAATTTCATGTTTATTCAATTTAGTCCTTAAAGTTATATTTTTATTTGAAATTAGACCATAATTATTTATATTTTTTATTTAACTCCAAACCTATAAATCACAACATAAACTTAATTTCAAATCCTATAAATTATATCATAATCACCAACTTTTTAAATGAATTCAATTTAGTCCAATTTGATATTAATTTTAGCTTTACATTTTACGGTTTTTTCAATTTGACCCTTGCATGTTGTTTAATTTATTTAAATTTCATTTTGTAATTTAATGTTTATTCGATTTAGTCCTTAAAATTATATTTTATATGAAATTGGCCATAATATTTTATATTTTATTTAATTTTACTACAAAGTCTATACAATTTCAAATTACAATTCGACGTTTATGAAAGTCGAAAAATAATTCACCCGAAAATGGCCCGACATGAAGTCTATCCATATTGATAAGATCCGACTTGAATTTTATCCACCAATGACGTGACCCAATCTGAACGAGATCTGAACTGAATTAACATGATATTAAACTGATTCACACCCAAACTGTTTTGACCCGAACTAAAATTAACTCGACCCAAACCTGAAGTAAATATGATTTCAAATCAACATGGAAATGACTCGAACTAGATCTGACTCGGATCAAACCTAATTCAAGCCAAACTATTAAATTGACCTAACATAGCCCAACCTGACCTGACATAATCTGATATGAATCTTGAACGATTACCTAATTTCACATCCCTAGATATACCTACTTCATTGTAGAAATAATAAAAAATAAAAATGTGAATAATTAAGTTGGATTATAGGAATTAGGGGTGTTCAACTCCGGATACCCGGTTTTCGGGTACCCGAAGTTCTGGATACCTGAGTCTTCGGGTAGTTGATTGGCTAGCCTGTGTCCCAACCCAGATGTTACAGGTACCTGGTAATTCGGTACTCGGTAATTGGGTACCTGTCATGTACCCGTAATTCAGGTAATTGGGTACCTGATTTTTATTATTTTCAAATTATTAATTAAAAAACATACAACTTATATTATTAAAAAATATTATATTAATTATTAAACATACATTTGCTAGGTGGGTGATTTTTTAATATATTAGTTTAATTTAATATATAAAATTATTAATAATTAAATATATAATATTATATTATATATAAAAAATAAATATAACATGATATTCTGGTAACCGAGTATCCTAGAAAATGTAATTTTGTGACCTAGTTCCGATCCGAGAAATGTCGGGTCTAGTACCCGGCCCGATCAGTTTTTCTTAAGACAATTACTCAATTTTTTTTAGTTTGGGTTTGCTGATTTACAGGTCGGGTCAATCGGATCATGTATTTTTAAACAACCCTAAAATTGGACATACCGTCTTCACTGTAGATGTAAGTTTAAATTTAAAAAAATGAATAATGAAGATGGAATTTAATTCTACGGTCTTCACTGTAGATTAGAATTTAAAATTAAAAAAAGGAATAGTGAAGGAGAGGAGTGTAATCTTACCTAGGGCTGTAAATGAGACGAGACAGATCGCGAGCTACTCGAGATCGACTCGATCTTGGCTCGATAAATACTCGGATCGAATGGACTCGACTCGAGCTCGAACTCGACTCGAGTTCTTAACGAGCCGAAACGAGCTACTCGATACTCGACTCGAAAAGCTCGTGAGCAGCTCGAAAATAAATGTTATATTATAATTTTAGATTTTTTAAAATTACATTATTAAAAATACATTATTGATAATTATAAAATTTTAAAATATATTAAAAATTCTATAATACAACTAAGACATCTCATCCATTATAATTATGTGATAGGATTTAGGGTTTATGATTTGTGGTTTAAGGTTTAGGGTTTAAGGTTTAAGTTATGCACATAAAAGTAACATACAAATTATGCAAGATGATGTTATGTTTCGTTTCTTGATGATACGCTATAAGTGGGGGGAAATTTGGTAATGAAAACCGTGAGAAGCACATCGTCTCGACAAACAAATTTGTTAAGGAAAGTAATCCAATTCTAGGTAAATTCAAACGAAAACTCGATGAACACACAGATTGAACTAACATCGAACACGTTCACAGATTGAGCTAACATCGACCCATGTTCGCAAATAGAGAAGTTATTAAAGGTGCAATAGAACATACTTTAAATGGAATGTAAGCATGTATGCCATTGACAGGACCAACGGTGAAGCCTGTATACCCGACCATTGCTCTATGAACTGCGACGTGAGCAAGTAGGGCGCAGTAGACATTATCCGAAAGTGTTGGAGTTTGGGTGGAAGGAATGGAGAAGAAGCTGATATATAGTGGCTAACATCGACCCATGTTCGCAAATAGAGAAGTTATTAAAGGTGCAATAGAACATACGTTAAATGGAATGTAAGTATGTATGCCATTGACAGGACCAACGGTGAAGCCTGTATACCCGAGCATTGCTCCATGAACTGAGACGTGAGCAAATAGGGCGCAGTAGACATTATCCGAAAGTGTTGGAGTTTGGGTGGAAGGAACGGAGAAGAAGCTGATATATAGTGGGGTTTGTCTTTGAAAAATTGTGTGTTGGCAGCATTCATGTGAGTTGAGCCGAGAAAGCAATTGAAAACCAGGTAGGATCGTTATCCGAGTTAGATTGCCCACGTCGAGCATTCACTCAACGCCGCTTTTTCCGAGGTTCCGTTCTGTTCTGCTACGCCATAAACTAGTGGCACTCGCATATTGATGTTTCGATTGTTTGGTATCTTTATTATCGAACCAGGATTTGGAAATATTTATATATCGAATTATATAATTATAATCTATAAGAGATATTGGAAGTGTTTGAGTATTATATATAATCTGTAATATAAACGCTATTGTTTTATGATTTCAATTGCGTAATTAGTCTTTGGAAGCAGTCAGCTGGTGGCTGAATGCATTGTCAGTATCCCACATCGTTGAGATACAAAGAGACGACGATAGAATCTGGTTATAAAAAAAGCGGGCTTCTATATTAAAGTTTCATATCTTTCTCGGCCTTTAACATAAGATCAAGTGTAGAATTTGTTCTTATCAGTTAATTTTGTTACGTGAGCTAATGTTACTAAGATATTGAATTTATCACATTAGGTTGGTACTGAGACTCGGGTTCACGAGCGTTGTACTATGGCTTCGAGTTTCAATCGAGCTCGAGTTCGAGCTTTAATTGAGCTTGAGTTCGAGCTTTAATTGAGCTCAGTCCGAGCATCGAGCTCGAGTCCGAGCTTCAATCGAGCTCGAGTCCGAGATTTAATCGAGTTCGAGTAGAGTTTCAATATTATCTTTTGAGTTTATGTCGAGTTTGAAAATTTTAGACTTTCGAGTTGAGTTTATATTAAAAGTTTTTAAATTCGAGTTGAGTTTGACAATATTCGAGTTCGACTTTAAATCTCTAATCTTACCATCTTAAAAAATTTTAATTATAAAATAATGGCATGAACAGTGAAGACGGTGTGTAAGCAGTAGCACACCAACTTCAAATTTACTGTTGAAAGCACAACAGGTTGAAAAATAAATTAAAGGGTGTAATATTTTGAAATAAAAAAATCCAATTGTAATATCCGAGTAAATTACCCAAACATCAAATAACAAATCAAATTAAATTATTTCAAGATAAAAAGGTAAAGGAATAGAACTACTTTTTAGTCCTAACTTTGAGAAACTTTTTCATTCAACTTAGTATTAGATAATTTTTTGTTTTATTTTCAATAATTTGGGCGAAACGCACAAATGATCACTAAAGTATCTTAAATAGATCTTTATAGTCACTACAATTTTAAAAATTATAAAATTATTATTATATTTATTAAATTATTGTAAAATAATCACTTCACATTATAAAATAATAAATTTTAATAAATTTAATGATTATTTATTTTGAAACTTCATTAATAAAAATATTATAACATAATTTATATACTTTAATCTAATAATTTGATGATTAGCACTAAAAGGTTAGGTCACATGTCACACCCACGGAACGACATGTCATCGAAATGACCTCCAAATTCAGGTTAATATGGACTAAAAGAAAATTTCAAGATAAGTCTCACCGAATTTTTACAGTACGCTAATCTTAATATATAATTAAAGTGTTATTGATTTTATTATTTTTTTAATATTTTAGATAAAATATTATATAAAACATTATTATTTTTATATAAAATATAAATATTGTTTTTAATATTTTTAGTAAAATGTTCAATAATAATAAAATCTGTAAAAAAATAATTTTTAAATAATACTTTATCAGATATGTTAATAAAATCGTTAAAACATCTAAAAATAATAAAATCAATTGAAATAATAATATTTTTAGTAATTATTATTAAATATTTTATCATAAATATTAAAAAATATTAATGATTTAGATAAAAATAATATATTATATGTAATTTTTATCAAAATTATTAAAATAATAATAACAATATTAAGATTAACTCACGTTATAATTTCCCATTCTTATATAGAGACAACAAAAAAGTAAACTAAAGTTGTGGAGCCTAGCCCAAGTTTCCAGTTGTTTCAGCTTTCATCATCTTCGTCTTCTCGGATCTCGCTGCGTTTCATTGCTTTTTACCTCTTGATTCCTATTTTTTTTCGTTTCCTTGATTTTTTTCTTCCCTTTTTTTCACGAATTGAGACATAAGCCCTGGTCCGATAGTTGGTGCCTGGGAAAAAGGGAATTTTTCAGATCTGCGATTACCATGAAGTAAAAGGTTGAAGGCGGTGGTTGCTTTTACTTTTTTTCATGAGATGATGAAGCGTTAAGCTGAGATATCGTCAAAGTTATCTGATTTTTTTTTTGCTCCTGTATTTGCTGTTTGCTTGTATTGTATGATTCATCTGGGTGTTTTTGATGTTAGTTTTAATTTTTGTTACACGTCTTCAGTTCTTCTCAATCTTTGTCTGATCTGATAATTAGCCGTGGAACTCTCAAGCTGAGATATTGTGAAAGGTTTGTTGTTTTTAAATCTTCTTTGTTAACTTGTCCGCCTGTATTTACTGTTTACTTGTATAATTTGTCATTCGGGTTGCCCTCTTTTTGTTTTGATTTTGTTTTTACATGTCTCGTTAGTTATGATCTTATCGAAGCCCCATTCTTTGTCTGATGTTCTACTCTGCGCTGAAAATTATGATCCAAAAGATTTATTCTGAACCCATATCATCCCTCTTTGGCTTTTTTAGATTGACCGTTCATCTTTCTTATTTTGACTTTTTTATGAGATGAACCACATTCTTTTATGCTAGTTATAATTATGTGTGCAATCCCCAAAATTACTTGTTAAAACAGTAATTTCTTTTGTCCAGAGATCATTTGGTGTCTGGAAAAAAACAAGTTAGTTTCAGACCCATGGAGGAGGTAGGCGCTCAAGTAGCTCCTCCCATATTTATGCACCAGGTCCTTGGCAGCCACTTCTGCGAACCACCTTCCTTGTCCAAGAAACGCGACCTTCCTTCTCGAGCCCCTGATTTTCAGTACCGAAACCCTTTGCAACAGCGTGTTGCCAACTCCAGGGACAACTGGAATCCAAAGCTATGGGAGTGGGATGCAGTAAGATTCATTGCCAAACCCTTGAACACCGAGATTCTGCAGGCAGGTACTGCCTCAGCAGAACAGAAAAAGAAAGGCCACGCTAATGGCAATGAAACCTCTATAACATCCAAGAATGCCACTGCAGTAAATGATAATGATGAGAGGCTGCAACTGAATCTTGGTGGGGGTTTGAACTCTTTAGAAGAGCACGTGTCCAGGCCCAACAAAAAGGTCCGTGTTGGATCCCCTGGGAGTACCAACTACCCCATGTGTCAGGTTGATAATTGTAAGGAAGATCTTTCTAATGCAAAGGATTATCACCGTCGGCATAAAGTGTGTGAGGTTCATAGTAAAGCAACTAAAGCTCTTGTTGAAAAGCAGATGCAAAGGTTCTGCCAGCAGTGTAGCAGGTTGCTACTTTTATGTTCTTCTTGAACTTTTCACCCGTGGCATCATGTAATGGTTGAACTCATATCACCTATATATTTCTTTTCTTCAGGTTTCACCCACTTTCTGAGTTTGATGAGGGGAAGAGAAGTTGTAGGCGAAGACTTGCTGGGCATAATCGCCGTAGAAGGAAGACACAACCTGAAGATGTGACCTCACGACTTTTACTCCCTGCAAACAATGATAATGCTGGGAATGGAAATTTAGATATCGTCAATTTGCTCACTCTTTTGGCTCGGACGCAAGGCAAGAAATTTATTCTAAAAATGCGTTAAAATTTTAAATTATTGTTTTAAGTTGAGACTGATGTTTGTGTGCTTAAAATGTAGGGAAAACCGATGACAAAAGCATTAATTCCTCACATGTACCAAATAGAGATCAACTTGTTCAGATTCTTAGTAAGATAAATTCATTACCTTTGCCCATGGACCTGACTGCAAAGTTGGCCAATGTTGGAGCATTGAGCAGGAAGAGCCAGGAGGAGCCTTCAATAGGTGATAAGCACCAATTGAATGGGAAAAACACATTCTCTCCATCTACAGTGGATTTGCTTGCTGCCCTTTCAGCTACATTGTCATCCTCTTCTTCCGATGCCCTTGAAAATTTGTCTCAAAGAAGCAGCCACAGCAGTGATAGCCACAAGACCAAGTCGATCTGTCCTGATAATGTAGCTGCTCCCAGTTCACGAAACAGAGCTCCTCTGGAGTTTACTTCAGTTGGGGGAGAAAGAAGTAGCACAAGCTATCAATCTCCTATTGAAGATCCTGAATGCCAGATTCAAGAACCTAGACTTAATTTACCATTGCAGCTATTTAGCTCCTCTCCTGAGGATGACAGCCCACCAAAACTAGCATCTTCTAGGAAGTATTTCTCTTCCGACAGTAGCAATCCAATGGAGGAAAGATCTCCATCTTCATCAACAGTTATGCAGAAATTATTTCCAATGCATAGCACAACTGAACCAGTCAAATATGAGAAACCACCCATTCACAGAGACACCATTGCAAATGCCGAAGCAAGCAGGGCTCATGGTTCTACTCTTCCTCTTGAGCTCTTTTGTGGGTCAAAAATAGGAACTGGACACGGTTCATTTCAAAATTTCCCTTCACAAACTGGGTACACATCTTCTGGGTCAGATCATTCCCCCCCTAGCTTGAATTCTGATTCTCAGGTATAATAGAAGCAGTACATGTTTTAGTTTATATTTAAGTTGTATTTCATTTTTCTTCCTTTTACCATGCATGTGTGTTACATTGACATATCTGATGGCTGAATGGGTTCTGAGCAGGATCGTACTGGGCGGATAATTTTCAAGCTGTTTGACAAGGACCCCAGCCACTTCCCTGGTGCACTGCGGAGCCAGGTGAGGAGTTATTTACCAAGTTTTGCATTTTTTGTCACATATAATAGGAAGTGGAGGTTACATAACGGCCTTTCTTGTAGAGTGTTACTGATGATTCTGGTCAATCATTTTGCAGATCTATAATTGGCTTTCAAATAGTCCGTCTGAAATGGAGAGCTACATAAGGCCTGGATGTGTGGTTCTGTCAATCTATTTGTCAATGTCATCTGCTGCCTGGGACCATGTGAGTGTGTTACTACATTACGCATTTGTCACTTTCCCTTTGTCCAACAGTGTGCTGACCATTTATAGGGTGCATGATTTTTTTTCTAGCTTGAAGGAAACCTGCTTCAGTATGTCGATTGTTTGTTGCAAGACTCAGATTCAGATTTTTGGAGGAAGGCACGGTTTTTAGTTCATGCTGGGAACAGGCTTTTAGCATCTCATAAAGATGGTAAGTATGATGGAAATTTGTGTTTTTTCTTTTGTCGGGCTGCTTCAAACTTTTCTCTTGAGAGAAAACATTATTATTTTATTTAGTACTCCTTGGGAATGTCTTTATTATCACCTACTAGGTTTCAGATGACTTCAACTATACACTTTTTAGTTGATTTATGAGGAGTATGGAGTTGGGTTACACTGCTTTGATTATGAACTGTTTTGAAAGTTTCGTTTTTTTCTGAACTTTTTCAGGAAAGGTTCGTCTATGCAAAGCCTGGAGATCATGGAGTTCACCTGAGTTGATATCTGTGTGTCCTCTGGCCATTGTGGCTGGACAGGAAACCTCTCTTTTAGTGAGAGGTAGAAATTTTACTAATCCTGGGACCCAGTAAGCAACATGAGCATTTTATATGAGAACTTTGAATTTCTTCCTTATGTCTTTCTATTTTTGAACTGTCAATTTGAAAACTGTGCAGGATTCATTGTGCATACATGGGTGGTTACTCATCAATGCAAATTAATGAGTTGACATATAAGGGAGTCGTGTATGACGAGGTAAACATGGACGGTTTTAAGATTCAGGTTCCGTCACCAAAAGCACTAGGTCGTTGTTTCATTGAGGTAAAACTTTATGTTGGATAATTACCATGTTCATCTTTCTGGATCCTCCTCAGAAATATGGAGGATTGTGACGAAGCTGTGTGTTGACTTCTCCCCAAATTTTGATCAGGTGGAGAATGGATTCAAGGGCAATAGTTTTCCTATTATAATAGCTGATGCTGCCATTTGTACAGAATTGAGACTTTTGGAATCTGAACTTGACATAGAAGCTAAAGCTTCTAATATTATTTCTGAAGACCATGATTATGATTTTCACCGTCCACGGTCAACAGAGGAAGTCCTGCACTTTTTGAATGAACTTGGATGGCTATTCCAGAGAAGCATCGATCCCTTGCCCAAGAGTTCTGATCATTCCCTCTGCCGGTTCAAATTTTTGCTCATATTCTCTGTTGAGAGAGACTATTGTGCTTTGGTAAAGGTACTTCTTGACTTGCTGGTGGAAAGCAACTTGGATATGGATGGGCTATCCAAGGAATCACTGGCCATGCTTTTTGAGATTCATCTCTTAAGCCGAGCAGTGAAAAGAAGGTTCAGGAACATGGCTGACTTGCTTGTACATTATTCTATTAATAGAAGCGATGAAAGCTCAAAAAAATATATCTTCCCACCAAATCTTGAAGGTGCTGGTGGAATCACACCTTTACATTTGGCTGCATGTACATCTGGTTCAGATGATTTGGTAGATGTGTTGACGAATGATCCACAGGAGGTATGAGTTATTGCAGCATTTCTTTTACGTTTAATACAAGGAATTGAGACTCCTCCCTGATTATCTGTCGGACTATTTTAGTTAAATAGGACTGTTTCTAGCGTCCTAGATTCGAAGTACTCTTCCTCTACTGAACATAAATGATAAAAACCGCGTTTAGACCTTTCTCTTAATTTGTGAAAAGAGATGGGAGGGTGGCTGGCACATTTGTTTTTATATATACTTGGTCAAATGTGTATTTCATTTGTTTGTAAACAAGTTACTAAAATTTCCAACTTTTTTGTAGATTGGTTTGAGCAGCTGGAATTCCCTTCTGGATGCAAATGGGCAATCTCCATATGCCTATGCTATGATGAGAAACAACCATTCTTACAACAAACTGGTGGCTAACAAATGTGCTGATAGAAAGAAAGGTCAAGTTTCTTTGACTATTGGTGATGAGTACTCGGGCATAACTGCAGTTCAGTTAAGCAAGATAACTTCGCAGTTAAAACAAAACCGTAGTTCTTGTGCCAAGTGTGCAGTTGTGGCAACGAAGTATAGCCATAGGTTTCCAGGTTCACATGGTCTGCTCCAACGTCCTTATATTCATTCAATGCTTGCCATTGCTGCTGTCTGTGTTTGTGTCTGCTTATTCTTTCGGGGATCGCCCGACATCGGCCAAGTTGCTCCCTTTAAGTGGGAGAACTTGGATTATGGCACGATATAATTGGTTGGGAACATATCATTTTGAAGCAAGCAACAAACTAGGGGCAGATTATGCAGGGTTCTTTGGACATTTGAGCCCAAGTGAATGGATAAAACTGGATGTGGTACAGGGGAAGTCTCCATATGCTGCTGATTGATTGTGAGCAACCCCGAGATGTGGGGTATCCCCTTTAGGCTATGCCCTTGTTTCGGCCTATGTATATTGGATTGGGGTAATCTCACAGATTCTAAGACCGTACATAGGCGGAGATTATACTTGTTGGATGAGTTGAGAGGCACAAGCATGAACGAATGTTGCTACTGGTAAAATTTTGGAATGGATATATGACAGTAAAAAGCGGACTTCCCAGAGAAGTTGTAAGCACTTCTTTCAGGGAAAAAAATAGAAATAAAGTTAAATTATATTGTATACTATTGTATTTTCATGTTTCACTTTGATTTGATTACTTTTAGATTTGTATTAGTTTTATCATCTCATTGTAAAGTTGTTGAACAACGTGTAGGATTGATTATAGTTATACAATGTTGTACTTTGTACGAATACCAATTACATATCAGCAAGTTTGTTTCTTACTTGCATACGTTTGCATGACGTGTCATTGGAACTTTTTTATACTTATATATGTAAAATTAATATATATAGTATTCTTGAAAGATGAAAATTAAATTTTGACGATACAATATACTAATTATTTTTTAATATATAAAGGTGTGTATATTATGATGGATGGCAAATTGGGAATTTAGAAAATGGTGATTGAAACAATACTCGGGCGGTGTGTGTTGTGGGGTGAGAAAATCTAAAATATGAATGGGGAATGGTTATTGGTTGAAAAGTGGGATGGGTGACACGTACGTAGTAGACAGGCACTTGCATGCGTGTCCACGTTTCATCATTGGATAAATCGTAGACCTACAATATTTGTTGATATTATTATATCAAAGAAGAAGAATAAGAAGAAAGAATCAAGGTTTACATGCTGATGATAAGGTTGGCACGATCTCCGGAAAGCGATGGTTTCTTTATGATAAGGTGTCGGGTTGGTCCTGATGCCACGACTCATGATTTTATGTGAATAATAACGAGTTTTTTAAAAAATATATTAAAAAATTATAAAACGGTAAAATTATTAATATATGGATTCGATGAAGAGGGTGTTAGGGGAGGGGGCGATTGCACCCTCTAAAATTTTTGGATTCCTTTATATTTTATTATTTAATTTTGTACTCCTAAATTTTTTAATACAACTTATTAAGTTCGCACCCCCCTAACATAAACTTCTACGTCTGCCACTGTAATTGAACACCAACGACTGTAATAAGGTGTTGAACTTTCATGATCAGATAATTTAATGTATTTAGAACATATACTAATTGTTGTAACTGTCATTCGAGTGGACCCAAAATTGGGTTTCGACTTAAATAAAATATATTAGAGCCGCCACTGATCATTTATTTTTTTTAGAAAAAAAATTTAGGTTGACTGGATACCCCAATTTATCATCTTACCTGATATGATTTTACCAGAAATATGTCGGGCTATGGAGTCAGTAATTGTCAAGGAAGGATTAGCACCCTTATACTGCCCTTTCGGTACCAATTTAATTTTTCGGTCTTAATGGCGAAAATTGAAAGTTAAATTAAAATTTAAAAAGTTCAATCCGAATTACGTACAATTAAAGAGTTTAAAATTGACCCTAAAAAATAATGAATCAAATCAGTATTCACGATAAAAACAAAACAAGATTAAATTAAGAAATATAAAAAAAAACTTTAAATTAAAAGGATTTAATTACAAAAAGAATTGAAATTAGGGACCAAATTGATATTATTTTAAAGCTGCAAGAAAAATAAAAATTTAGGAGGGGTCAATTTGCAAAAATATAAGAAATTTAAACAGGGACTGAATTGAATTAATTAAAAATTCAGAGGCAAATTGCAATAGGTGATCAAAATGAATTACACATCAAACTTTGAGGGATCAAGAAAATAATTAAAGTATCTACTAATTACACAAATGTCCCTGGTATATAAATACCCAAAAACCCATTTTCAAACTCATTCTTACCAAAGCTCCCCCTAAACTCTCGTAATCCTCTCATCGTTCTCCAACTCGCCCAGATGGCCGAACGCCGCTGCTCCATCGCTCCGACGACCGAAAAAAAACTAACTTACCTAAAACACTCTCCCAAACTCAGTGAGCACGAAACCGATGTCAAAATCTCGTAAAAAAGCCCTGAAAAGCGTAGTTGCACGCCCAAAGTTTCAATTTTTACCTTGAAACCGGTGTCCCTTCAAGTTCTAGAGACTTTTGGCTTTCCACCGCCGTGCTTACCTCCGCGCGACCTCAAAGCCGAATGCTTTATATGATTTTTCTTGCTATTGTGAGTACTTCGTTTTTTGGTTGCTTGTTTTTTTGCTCGGTTTCTTTTGTGTTTTTGTTGGCTGTCGTGGTATTTTCCATTGTTTGCTAGGTTTTTCGTGGCTATCGTTGTGTTATTGACAGATTGGGTGGGGATATTTATATCCCACCACCAGTAATTGCTGTTTCCCTCGTTCCCGTTATTTTCAGGCCGTTCGGTCATTCATGTGACCGGCCATCACGAGATGGTTTAGTCCTGGGTCGTTTGACCGGGAATCTCGGCCGGTTGGTAACGACGTTGGAACGTGGCCTTCACGTGTGCTATTTGTTTCTTCGTGCGACACCCTTTGCTTAATACGAAACCCTAATTCGATTTGGGCTTGAATCGAGTATGCTGGGTCATGCTACCCGATTAGGCCTTGGATTGGACATTTTTTATCGGATTGGACTTGGACCCCTAAAAAAATAAAAACAAAATTAATAATAATATAATATATAAAATAATAATAAGCTTAATATATATATATATATATATATATATATATATATATATTAAAAGAAAAAACTTATAATATATATATTTTCAAAATAATATGTTTTCGAAACTTATATATTATATATTATATTATTCCAAGAATATTTAAAAACTATATATACGTTTTCAAAATATGTTTTCAAAACTATATTATATATATGTTTTTAAAAAATGTTTTTAAAACAAGATATTATACGTTTTCAAAAATGTTTTATATATGTTTTTTCAAAAATGTTTTTAAAACCATATATATACATTTTCAAAAATATTTTTAAAACCATATATTATACGTCTTAAAAAATAAGTTTTCAAAAACTATATATTATATATTTTTAAAAATTATATTTGAAATTATTATATATACTATGCTATATGAAAAATAGACTCCGAATGAAAATAAGTGTCTACACTACGTTATAGTCACCTTAATTAAAAAAAAGTTCAACCTCTCAATGACTCCATCCCAACAGGCGAGGTGGCTCCGGACCTTCCAACGCTACCGTTAAGCATTTAGCGAGAATCGTAGTGATACACAAAGTGACGTTTTTTTCAAATGCTATCATTAACTAATACTCTCACTAATAATCCAAATATATATTTCACATATAATAAGAGTTAAAATCAAAACTCTATTTCTATTTCTCTTAAAAATTGTGTCAACCACAATTTCAACGGTTAATTGTTAATTTATCTCGAGTCTCAGGCCATTTACGTTTTTTCTTTTATTTTTCACCAAGAAGATGATATCAAGTGTTGGCATCTTATTGAAGAATTAAATATACTAAATAATTTAAAGAAAAAAAATAAGAATTAAGCTGAAACAATTTGTAAATATTGATATTAAATTATTTTTCAATTCGGATCACATTGGTAGACGTATAAATTTTAAGGATTAAAACTCTTATTAGACCATGTAATACCATCATACTAGCTAAATTTTCAACTATTGGGGGCTAAAATGAAAATAGATATAACATTAGTGACCCAATCTATAGAAAAATAATTTGGTGACTAAAGTAAAAATTTGTAATATTTGGATGACTAATAGTATGGTTATACTTTTTTATTTTCAATAGTAGAATACACATGTCATGATCTAAAGTTTAATGGTTAAATTGATATTTATCTAAAGTTTAAAGATTAAATAAAAAGCTAACCCTTTCTATTTGTGTGGCACCCCATTAAACTAATCACACTTAATGTTTGAGTGATTAAAAAATTATAAAACATGAACTAAAATGGATTCCGTGGTAAAGAAATTATTGTTATTTTTTGAGAATCTGAGTTCGAATACTATAGATGCTTGGAGTATGAGCAATTAATGTCGAAAGGTTGAGAGCTAATTTTAAACAAATACTGTCATATACTTACCAGATATTATTCAAAAAATATTATAAATAGATAATGAAAATGTTATTTTTTAAAATTAGTGATAAAAATGAACAAAAATTTAAATGAAAACGATAGTTTTGGTAGTTTATCCCCACGGATAACGGCTGCGCATTGATTGTGTTTGTTCTCCAAGTAAGTGACTTCACACACATCACACAAAATAACGCGTCATTGCTGAGTTCACTTAGGGCTGGCTCAGTCTCTCTTCTTTCTTTTGATAATCATGCGTGAATTCAACCTCCTTTTAATTGTTCATCTAACTCAGTTGGTAAAGCGAAAGACTTTTAATCTTGTGATCGTGAGATCGAGTTTTACTGAAGGCAATTTATAACTAAGGTATTCCACGGAAGTTGCTCTCAACCTGACGTTGAGGGCAACCTACTACCATACTTCACCCTTACCCCATTATATATGGGAATAAAGTCAACTAATTTAATTGTATTATCAATGGTTCAATGTTATAGTGAGAGGTGTTCTAACTTTTATGGTTTAATTACTCTCACGGTCCTTATTACTTTTGAGATTAATGAAATTATAACTTTTTTTTTATTTTCTTTGATCAAATTTGAGATTAATCAAATTAAGTTCGAGTCTCAATTTTACTCTTTTAATACTTGTGGCTTTTAAATTAAAATCTAAACAATTTGACCAATGATTTTATCTTAATTTCACCTATGTCTATTATGATTATGAATCATTACGATAACTGATTTTTATAATTATTGAAATTAAATTAATATTTTTATAATTATACTTATAATAATTGAAAAATATTTTTACCAACAGAGATTGATTTAAGTAGTAAGTAGTTTAATATCGTTTAAATTGATCTCGAGTTTGAATCCTTGTATATGCTGAAAATTCATGTTGAAAGATTCATACACCAAAATTAGTTCTACGATATGAATCGATTTAGATTAATCAAAACGAAATTATGAAATCAAGAGGATAATAAAACTTTAAATTTTGAAAATTTTGTGATTTAAAAGATACAGCTCGGCAAAAGTCAAAAGTCAAAAAATTGACAGTTGGAATAAGAAAAAACAACGCTCTAGAAATAAAATCGCCGCAAAGTAAGTAATGAGTCAGCATCTATCAGCTGTACGTATCTTCTAGACTCTATCCTCTGTTTGGTGGAAAACTACGGCCTTGGACTTTTACCAAACTCTCCGTTAACGGTATTTCATGTTCCCCGCGTGGCGGCGTCGCTGGCGTCATTAACCCACGTCCACATCACCTTCTCCCTTTCCCATTCACTCGTTTCTTCTAATTTATTCATCTATTTAACTATACCAACAACAACAACAACATTTGTTCTTCTCGATTCGATTCGATCGTTTTCGCGAATATATCTTCTTCCGAATCCTCCGACGTCGTCTCAAATCTTGTTCCTCTGTTGATTGTTGATTCTCTCCATGCAAAATGGGCACCTGCTTCTCTTCCGAGGAATTGATATCCGAATCAACGCATCGTGCTACTGCTCATGTTGTTTCCGTCAATGGCGATCTTCACAGATATAACGTTCCCGTCTTCGTCTCTCAGGTTCTCCAAGCCGAAACCGCTTCGTCTTCTTCGTCTACTTCTTCGTCGATCTTCATTTGTAACTCCGACAGCTTGGCTTACGACGAATACATTCCGTCCTTGGATGTTGACGACCAGCTGCAAGCCAATCAGATGTACTTCGTGCTCCCTATTTCGAAGCTCCAGCATCGATTGGCCTCCAAGGACATGGCGGCTTTGGCAGTCAAAGCCAGCCTTGCTATGGAAAACGATTCCAAAAACGACTCTAATCGCCGCAAGAAGGCTCGGATTTCACCCGTGACAGTCGTCGCCGCCTCTCAATCGCGTTCCGGTTCTGTTGTTCACGGCACCAAGTCGTTTCCAAAGCCGCAGCCTCAGCAGCCCGGGATGACGAGATCGGGTTCCATTAGAAAGTTCCAGAGATACACATCAAGACGAGCAAAATTGGCCGTTCGATCTTTTAAGCTGAGATTGTCCACCATTTACGAAGGTTCCATTCTGTAATCTTTCTACATATACGGATTGATCAACCTTTTCATGCTAATTTTTTCATGAGCTCCAATGTAAAATTTTCTTTTAATTCATTAATTACATTCAACCCTTTCCTGTATAGGAATTTGAGACATCGTGAGTATGATTTTTGTTGAAGAAAATATGAGATTCAATTAATCATTTCATTGCTAAATTGATTTGTTTTTTTTTTCTGGGTTTTTCTGCTCTTCTTTGAACTAATTGGAACATCTAAACATCAACGTCCAAATTCCAAAGTCTAAAGTTGTGGTCTCCATTGATTATTTGTTTACGAAGTTGAAATGTAAACGGGATTTGTTTGATACCACACATTTCTGAATCGGATTTGAATGTTAGATATTTTACGACCGAACATGAGCAGGTTTGATCTTTGCTGTATATTATAAATAGTGGCGGGTTCAAAAATATTTTTGAGGATGAAGGCAAATAAATTAATGATATATAATTTTTACGTGGTATAGACATAAATAAACTTTTATGTGACATAATTTTTGCGAGACAGAGACAAATAAAATTTCAAAATAGATAAGTAACGATGTATCCAGAAATTTTGATGTAACTCGATCAGCTGCACCTCCAAAAACATCATGAGACGCATTATTTATTTGTGACATTCGGTTCCAAAATTCTACTTATCTTGTGCGTGTTTTTATTGTGGGTATAGTGATAAAGAATATTAGACTACTTATCGTCAAATATTAAAATGATACTATCAATATCAACAATCAGTTGATCTAGTGGAATGAGAAATTAGATTTCTTTAGCAAGGTTAAGGGTTCAAATCTTGACGATTGAAAATAGAGCAAGCTTGATTGAGAGAGTCACTTTACCTCTGCAGCATTCAATCTGAATTAGTCAATCTATAGATCGGAAACCGGTGGTTATACCAAAATGATACTATTAATAAGCTTGATTGAGAGAGTCTATAATTAAACAAACCAATCCTCAGTTAAGCTAATACTAACTTGATTTTCGGTTTCATTTTGATGTTCATACAAAGTTAGGCTAATGTCTATGATTAATTAAATACGAACGAATTCAAACTATTAAAAACTAGAAATAATAAAAATATTTTTAAAAATAATATTATAAAACTTTGAATAATGCCCAAAAAAAAAATTGTACCCACTCCATTATATTAGGTTCTATCATACTATTTGACTCTCATGTCTATAATTAAACTAAGTAACCCTCAATTAAGCTAATATTATTTTTTTGCTCGGCAAAGATCATTATATTAAATTTGAGAGCCAAAGTCTCACTTATAAACCTCATTAAAAACATCCCTAATTTAATTGGATTAAAAGAGTATTGCATAAATGAAACAATACAACCATAAAATACCATTTACATAAACCAAAACAAAACATGGGAAAACCCACCCTAAATAAGGGCATCTAACAGTACAAATAATACATCCACCAAAATAAAACAATAAGCATCCAATAGACACAAAACCGACAGTGCACTTGTTTATAACACAAACAAGGCATCTTTCACCACAAAATCAAAGTGTTTAACTCATTAAACTAAGTATTGTTCGTGAAAAAATTTGTAAGCACATTGATGAATGTTTTAATTTGCACATGTTTTGTTGATAAATATTCTTCGTTGTTTATTTTATGTCACATATTTTGGATATTTTTTTATTCATTTTTGTGCAGCAGCATACTCTCCAGAAGCATAATTAAATGGGAAGAGTTCTGCATTTTTTTTATTTTCTGGAATTATGGCTAGAATTATGGGCATGATCTTGGGCACGACACGGTCCGACGTGGTAGTTCCTAGAAGGTCCAGTCAACACTTTACGGAAGATGGTTCGATGTGGCTGTTTTTGATATACTTTGTCTTAGCAGTTTGATACGGTTCTAGATAGGGTGTTGTTTTTTTGGGCAATATGTTGTTGTTTTCTTGTATGCATGTTGTTTCTTCCTTTGTTTGTATTTTGATTTTGGAGTCTTTGTTGGTCAGATTCATTTCATTTAAGGGTGTAAGTTTGTATGAAAAATATACTTCCCTAACTTTATAGTGGGACATGCGTTGAGAGCACATGACTTAACCAAACAAAAGACAAATGTGTCTAAAATTTATTTGTTGAGATTTTTATCATAAAGTCGTGCATTATTATGTTATTATGAGACTCATAAGCTACCTTTTTTTGCTAAGCAAACAGAAGTTTTCATTTAAAATTCATAGGATATCCCCAACTTGAATCTCATTAAAAAAAGCCCTAATCCTAAATAGGGGAAAAGAGTGCTCAAAATTGAGAAAAAACCAAAGCTCATAAAATGAATAACACGAAATATAGATGAAGCACAACTTAAACCAAAACTACCCCACCCTACCAAAGAAAAAACAGTCTCCACAATAACCAACCCCTAACCAACATTAGAAAAAATCCTAATAACCTCCATTTCGATCAAATTAACATTCAAACCAGGTACACAATAAAACTGCTAGGATAACTCCCTTTCTATATATCACCAGCTTGCCTTGAACAAAACTTTTCTCTTCGAGCCCATCTTTGCCAGGTAATCTGCCATATTATTAGTATTCCTAGGCGAGAACGCAAACTTCATCTCAGATATCTTTAGTGCATTAACATCAATTCCCTCAAAAATTACCCCCCACCTTCATGGTCGAGCTAAGGCATCTTGTATCTAGTTCAGTACTACCTTAGAATCAGATTCGATGATCAAACCAGTCTTCCCACACCAGCAAGATTCAACAAACACGTCTAATGCAATTTTGATAGCTACAAGCTCCGCAAAATCTGGATTGACCTCTGTTACCGGCCCAAAAAACATTGCTACTACATAGCCTTCTACAGTCCTCAAGACTCCCCCACACCATGCTGACTTATTCGTTGCTGAGCCATCCACATTGAACTTCATCTGGCCCGACACTGGCGGCTTCCAGACAGACTTGGGACGTTGCTGTACGCTTAGACCCGCTGACTCCCCTGGCCAATCCCACCAACGTTTCTCGTCTAAAACACTAAAAACCTTCAACGCCTTACACCAAGCATAAGCTCGCATCTTCACATATACAAGCAGGTCTTTGAGTTTCGTGTTTTTACTCTTAAAAACTAGATCATTCCTCGCCAGCCATAGGCTCCATAACGCCGCTGCAAAGCTTACAAACCAAGCCAATGCTATAGATTTTGACCATCTAAACTGAAAACAAAACTCAAAAAATTTCTTCCATTGTCTGCAAATTAAAGCCTGGAATATGCCACCACCTACAGAAAGCATTCCAAAAACAAGCCATAAAAATACAAGACACAAACAGATGATTCACATCCTTTTCAGCATCTCCACATCATGGGCACAACCGTTGAGCATCAGACAACTTAATCCCTCTGTTAAAGAGGAATACCTTAGTTGGAACTCTGTTCAATTTAAGCATCCATAGAAAATATTTCACCTTCGGTGGGACTTTTAGACTCCATATTTTATCAAAGTTAAACGAACATACATCTTCAAAATACCCGTCACTGAGGAGCAACTCAGTCAATTTCTTAACCTTAAATAAGCCATCAGTCTCATGCACCCATACAATCCGATCAACCACAGATGAATTAAAACTCACATCATCCACTTCACGTTTTATAATTCGAATAGTAGTTAATTCCCTGACAAGCAATTGTCGCTCGAACAAAGCTGTTGTATCTAAGTTTTGCCATTCACCTGCAGAAATCATATCACACACCGTAATATACTTCCTCAACACTAACCTGTAAATACGAGGATATCTTGATCTTAAAGCACTTTCCCCAAACCATACATCCTCCCAAAATAATAATGATTTCCCATCACCCACTACCCACCTGAATGATTCTCCACTTATCCATTTAGTTGTACATTCACTAGACAAAGTATTCACGATCTCTCTCCATGTTATCGAAGCTTTCTTAATATCTCCAAGACTAACCAACCAAGGCAGATCACCTGAGCCATATTTGTGACTAATTACTGACCTCCATAATGCCCCTCTTTCAGTTACAAATCTCCAACCCGACTTAGCAAGTAACACCATATTCTTTGCCTTTAGATTGATTATTCCAGCCCCACCTTTCTTTTTCGGACAACACAATCTACCCCAATTCACCCTTGGCAATCTATTTTTGTTTCCATCATAACCCCATAAAAAACCTCTTATAATCTTATCAATTTTTGATACAACTGCTTTTGGAACATGGAATATCGACATATAAAATAACGACAACATTAACAACACTGAATTAATGAGAACCACTCGCCCAACAAAAGATAGCGTCCTGCTTTTCCAGCCCACCAATTTAGCTTTAAACTTTTCAATAACAGGTTCCCACGTCGAAATTCTTCTGGGATCTGCACCTAACGGAATTCCCAAATATTTAAATGGCAATGCAGACACAGAACAACCACCCAAACGAGCTAGCTGTTTTAGTTTATCTTCTTCAACTTTCACCCCTGCTAAGCACGACTTCCTGAAATTTATGCTTAAACCTGAACCCAATTCAAAGGGTTAAGAATGAATTGACTTTGAATTAATCAAAGGATGTTGAGGAATTTATGACAGACACCTAATAATGATAATGATAAACATGTTAATTTACTAATAAATCATTAATACATGTGTTACAATATAATAGGTGGGGCACACATAGGGCCATACCATGGGGACAAAATTTTTTTATTCATATAAATCATTTAGAATTTTGTTTGGGATACAAAGAATGAAAAACAAGACGTTAATTTAATTAGCTGAGATATCATACAAAAATTAGTTGAGGAGGGGGATTTTGTTACTTTTATGAAACCGAAAAAGATGCAATATTTTCTCTATCTGTCATTAAAAGAGTGGGTGACGTAATCAGCGGAACTGGAAAAAGTTTGTAATGGCCTATAAGAAGTGGAATATTTTGAAAACTATGAATGTAACAGTTTTTAAAGAAATAAATGGGAGTTGTTAAGTTGATTAGAAGATTCTCTCCTATCCCCGATCATCTTTTCAACCCTAAATTTTTATTATGAAATAATCTTAATTGATATCGCACGTCTTTAGTTAAAAATCATTCAAGCGCCGTTGTGTTAAACATCAGAAGCAAATATGAATCCATCTCCGATTAGTTGGTTCCTCCTGTCTCTAATGCTGCTTTCTGTTTCAAGCGTAGATGGTTTTTTCGATTTGTTTAAAAAAACAAAGGTGGTCATCTATAACGATATACAACCTGTGATGATTCTCACCATTCATTATAAATCGAAGAACAATGACCTCGACGTCTGTGTTATTCCCTACCGCCAATTCTTTGAGTTCCAGTTCAAAAGAGGCTTCTTATACTGGAAAACCTTGTTTTCCTGCGACATGCGATGGAATGGGAAATCGCATTGGTTCGACATTTACGATCAGGCCAGTCATGTCCATCTTTGTAAGCATTGCGTATGGAACGTAAGGCCCAGGGGACCATGCCTGCATATTAATGGAAAGGACCATTGTTACCCCTGGAACAAATCTTAGTTACTCCAACTTTATATAATCAACACTTTTTATCTCTTCATGGAAATATGACACCATGTGAACAATGTTAGATAAAGAATGTATAATCTCCTTTATATTAATTTCTATCAATGTATTTGAATTTGAGTTTGAGTCTATAATTAAACTAATTTGCTGAAAACATTTTGATGTTTCGATATAACAAATTAAATTAAAAGAATTTTAATTTTGAAAAAGATTTTTCTAAGCATATTCGATATATTAATCGAATATCAAAATATTACTCAAAGTATTTCAAAGTTTATTTTAAATCCTTACTATAGTGTAAAATTAAGTTTTAATATTAAAATAATTTCAAAACAATTTTACAAATTATTTCGAACCGTTTCAAAGCAAAAAATTAAAGTTTGTCTGGAGGGAACCGATTCCCCCCAAGGGGGTACCGATTCCCCCCTGAAGGATTTGGCTCCAAGAATTCCAGTATGCTCGGAGGGAACCGATTCCCCCATTGTTCAATGGTCGAAATATTTGAATTTTACACTTAGGGAACCGATTCCTCATGAGGGGTACCGATTCCCCCCACGCTCAAAGCTGTTGTATTAATTGTTTTCACACTTAAACGGCTCCAATAAGTTCATTAATGATCCCCAACGTTCAGAAGTGATTCAAGGTGTATTTAAGCAAGCTTAGAAGCCATTGATCAATAACAAGAAACATCAAGCAACTAGAATAAAGAGAGAATCAAAGAGAAAGCATCAAACCTCAAGTTTGAGCATTTCAAGCCTATTTTTCATTCAATATTCATTTTTCATTCAAGAACACTTATTGTGCTCAATTGTATTTATTCTTGAGTGTTCTTTCTTTGTTCTAGAATTGTGCAAACATATTTTCCTTGTGAGGTTTTTCTTATGAGTTTGTAAATTTGTAATCTTCTCTTTGAGAAAAGAGTATTCTCAAGAATTAGGGTATATTCTTGAGGGAGTTGTAAGGTTATCTCTTTGGCCTCAAAAGAAAGAACAAATTAGTGAATTTGTTGGAAAATCCTTAGTGTGGATAGCTAAGGTAGTGGACATAGACTTTGGTTGATAAATTCGAATCACTCTAAATCGCTGTGCAATTACTTTCAATTTTCTGTAAAAGCTTCCACAAAATTTTAATTGCCAATTCACCCCCTCTTGGCCGATTCCGTCAATCAATTAACTCAACAATTGGCATCAGAGCCTAACTCATTTGAAAGGTTTAATCGCCTCTTGAGTCGATTCGAGAAGAGTTACATCGATAATCAAAGTCATCAAAGACCTCTACTTCAAACTTCGACTCCAGTCTCGATTAGATGCCCGTCAACAAGCCTTCTTTCTTCAATGGGGCTAACTATGCCTATTGAAAAATAGGATGATGTACTTCATTCAAACAAGTGACATTGAAACATGGAATGTCGTAGAAGAAGGATACATCAAGCCTCTCACTCATCCAAGATTATGGAGTGAAGGAGAGACAAAAATGTTCTAGCTCAACTCCAAAGCCATCCATATCATATTTTGTGCTCTTGGACCAGATGAATACAGAAGAGTTTCATCTTGTACAGCCGCCAAAGAAATATGGGACAAACTTCAAGTCACTCATGAAGGTACCGATGAGGTAAAGAAATCTAAAATTAGTATTCTAACGCATAACTATGAAAATTTTAGGATGAAACCAAATGAAGATATCAAATGTATGACGGATAGATTCTCAACGATTGTCAATGGTCTCAAATCATATTGAGAGATCATTTCAAATGAAAAGCTTGTGAGGAAGTTAGTTTACTCCCTTTGAAAATCATGGCAATCAAAGAAGACGGCAATCATCGAGTCTAAGGACCTAACGTTCTTAACTCTTGAAGAACTAATCGGTTCCCTACTCACTCATGAAATGATGCTTGAAGATGAGGTGGACCTCGATAAGATTGACGAGACACCAAATGAGAAAGAGAAGAAGAAAAACATTGGAGTTGCTCTCAAATCCACAAAAGATGAGAGTGATTCGAATGAAGATGACGAGGATGAGGAAATGACATTGTTTGCCAAACGGTTCAGAAAAATGTTGAGACCTTACCAAGGAAGAAAATTCAAAAGAAATGAAGGCCTAAAAAATGAACCAAAAGAGAAGGACCCGATCATTTGCTATGAATGCAAAAAGCCGGGGCATGTCAAATATGATTGCCCACAATTGAAGAGAAAGGGTCAATCAAAGAATAAGCACAAGGCTCATGTGGCTACATGGAGCGATGAAGAAGGTTCCGATGAAGAGGAACAAGAAGTAGCAAACTTGTGCTTGATGGCATTCAGGGAAGATTCTAAGGTAGCCTCTAACTCATATAATTTTGATGATTTATCTTATGATGAGCTATTAGAGGAATATAATGGGTTGGCTTCGGATTATGATAAATTATTTTTAAAACATAAAAATGATATTTCAAAATTGAAAAATGAAAATAAACTCATATCCAAAACCAACAACGATCTTGAAAGTGAAATCAAAGATTTGCAAATCAAACTAGAAGAGTTTGAAAAGAAAAATTTGGAACAAAAAGTTTTGAAAAAGGAGAAAATTCAAAATCCAACTTTGTTAGAAAAAGTTTTAAAAACTACAATCATAGAGGTCCTCGAAGAACCTCTAATGGAAAAATCGTTAGAAGTATGTGGATTCCTAAAGAAATCATTACTACTAAATATAAAGATATCCTACACAAATGGATACCTAAGGGGACTAGGATTTTGGAAACTAATGAATATGGACCCAAAAGAATTTGGGTACCAAAAATTAGAAATTAATCTATGTTTGTAGGAAAAGGAGCATTGCTACAAGGCACGGGAAACAAATCCAAATTCATGGTACCTTGATAGTGGATGCTCGAGACACATGACCGGAGACAAAAGCCGGTTCATAGAGCTTAACGCCAAAAATGGAGGAGAAGTGACTTTTGGTGATAATTGAAAAGGTCACATTGAAGGTATTGGTACTATAGGTAATATCTCTTCCATACAAATTAAAAATGTGTTATATGTGAATGGATTAAAGCATAATCTGTTGAGTATTAGTCAACTATGCGATAAGGGATTCAATGTCATGTTTGAAATTAATGGTTATAAAGTCGTTGACATTGCATCTAATCGGGTTATGCTTGTTGGTAATAGAATAGGAAACATATACATGGTGCATTTAGACTCTATAGAAATGACTAATTTATGCCTAGTTGCTAAGGATGAACATGATAGTTGGTTATGGCATAGGAGACTAGGACATGCTAGCCTGAGTGTTTTGCAACAGTTAATTCAAGGAGAATTGGTTCGAGGGCTGCCTAAACTAAAATTTGATAATGATAAAATATGTGATGCTGTGCTAAAGGAAAACAAAAGCGAGTTTCTTTTAAATCCATTAATGATGTGTCAACTAGTAGAGTATTACAATTGATCCATATAGATATTTTTTGGGCCAACTAGGACTACTAGCTTGGGTGGAAAAAAATATGCATTTGTCTTGGTAGATGACTATTCTAGATATACTTGGGTTCTATTCTTAAGTACTAAAGATGAAGCATTAGAAAATTTCATCACATTTTCAAAAGTAATCCAAAACGAAAAAGGTTACTCTATCACTAGTGTTAGAAGTGATCACGACACTGAATTTGAAAATATTGGATTTAATGAGTTTTGTAATTCTAATGGTATTAGCTATAATGTTTCAGTACCTAGAACCCCTCAACAAAATAGAGTTGTTGAGAGGAAAAATCGAACTTTAGAAGAAATGACTAGAACCATGCTTTGTGAAAATAATTTGCCAAAATATTTTTGGGTGGAAGCCACAAATACCGCTTGTTATGTTGTAAATCGAGTAATGATTAGGCCAATTCTAAAGAAAACTCCATATGAAATTTTCAAAAATAAAAAGCCTAACATTAGCTATTTTCATCCTTTTGGTTGTAAATGTTTTGTTTTAAACAACGGTAAAGAAAACCTTGGCAAATTTGATGCTAAAAGTGATGAAGGAATTTTTCTGGGTTATTATTTACATTCTAAAGCTTATCGAGTATTTAATACAAGAACTTTGTTCGTAGAAGAGTCTATACATGTTGTTTTCGATGATAATCTCATTCCGAGGAAGGATTCTTGTTTGAATGATGATGTAGGTATTATAAATACAAATGACGTTAGACATAACGTTGGAGAATCATCATCAAAGGAAGAAACGAAAGATGTGGAAACTCATGATCCTCTTGAGAATCCAACCATTGAAGAAAGGGAAGTATCTTATCCAAGAGAGTACAACTATGTCAAGGATGGTGAGATTATAGGTGATCCATCCAAAGGGGTAACAACTCGATCTTATCTTAGGAATATTTGTAATTATGTTGAATTTATTTCATGCATAGAGCCTAAGAATATTAAAGAAGCATTAAATGATGAACATTGGATTATGGCTATGCAAGAAGAGTTAAATCAATTTGAGAGAAGTAAAGTATGGACATTAGTTGAAAGGCCTAGTAATAAATCTACTGTAGGTACTAGATGGGTATTTAGGAATAAGCTTGATGAGAGTGGTAATATAGTGAGAAACAAGGCTAGACTTGTTGCTCAAGGTTATACCCAAGAAGAGGGCATAAACTATGATGAAACATAGCTCCCGTAGTTAGGATGGAAGCAATTAGAATGTTATTAGCATTTGCATGTTTTCATGAATTTAAATTATATCAAATGGATGTTAAAAGTGCATTTTTAAATGGTTTTATAAAAGAAGAAGTGTATGTGGAACAACCTCCAGGTTTTGAAGATTCAAAATTTCTGGATCATTTTCTTAAATTGACAAAAGCACTTTATGGTTTAAAACAAGCTCCTAGAGCTTGGTATGAAAGATTGTCAAACTTTTTAATTGAAAAAGGTTTTTCAAAAGGGAAGGTTGACACTACATTGTTTTTAAAGCATAAAGGTAAATATTTATTAGTAGTTCAAATTTATGTT